CACTCTAGGCTAGGCGACAGAGCAAGACTCCATCTCAAAAGAAAAAAAGAGAAATCAAGTAAATATCCCAACAGCAAATTTTAGCACATTTTACACTTTTGTATGTAAAATGGATTTTTAGAAAGCCCAATGTAATACTTTACACAACCACAAGTGCAGAAATACCACAATTACAAACAAGTGACTATGCCAGGCAGTGGAGACAAAAAATAGATAAGGTAGCTGACCCCTTCACAAAGACTGTTTTGTTGGGCACACTCTGCCAAAAAAATAAAAAGAAATGTGAGGCCAGACATGATGACTCACACCTGTAATCCCAGCACGTTGGGAGGCTGAGGCAAAAGGATTGTTTGAGCCTAGGAGTTCAAAAACAGCCTGGGCAACACAGTGAGATGCTGTCTCAAAAAAAAAAAAAAAAAAAGAAAAACAAAGAAATGTAATTCAAGGATGTTAAAGGGTAAGGATAGGAAAAATATTCTTTTGCTAGATGGCTAATGATCACCACTGAAATACTAATAAAGATAAAAACAGGAATATTTCTGTGGTCCAGTACACTACGTATCTGTGAAACCAGGGTAAAAACAGTTCCCTACTTGGCAGCACTGCTGTAATAAGAATTAATATACCTTAAATATGCTATAAGATTTAGCAAACAGTAGACATGAAAAGTGGTAACTACTATGATATTAGTTATAAGTACATATTAAAACCTAATTGAGAAAGTAATTAAATTCTCTAGAGAAGTAGAGAATGTTTGCCTAATCACATTTAAACCAACAAAATATATTAGCAACAAAGAATTCATCTTGCTTTGTAGATTTGTTTAAAACCACTTTCCCATAAAAATCCTATTCCTAACCTAAGCCAGGATCCTTCCTAATTGTACTAAATTAGAAACCAGAAAAAGCAATATAGACTAGCAGTGCCAATTGGCCTAGTTTTGAAACTCAACTCTGTTACTTACTAGCTATAGAATATCTCTTGGGCAAATGACTTCACCTCTCTGTTTCAGTACCATATCTGCCAAACGGGATTATTATTACCTTCCCCAGAAGTGCACTGTGAGAAGTAAAGGCATTACTATGCATAACAGAGCGAGCTAGTCACTCATTTCTTCGAAGCTTTATTATCGATTATGATAATTGTCTATATTTATGATGGCAAAGTCCTGAACTAGGATGGAAGTAGATTACTAACAGCCATGCTTCCTAAATAGTAAACATTTTCCCCATCTGACACACTTGGGCCTCAGAAGCTCTGAAGCCAAGGAAAAAAACATAATAGTTCACCCTCAGCATTTCTGATCTCTGACAAAAGATTCATAGTCCTTTCCTTGGATAGAAAAAGAAATTTTTAACCCAGAATACCAAGGATTGTGTTATTCGTCTTATCAGTTCCTGAAAGGGTACTGCTTTGGTAACAAAAGGCTTAATAGCTCCTATGAGATTCTTAGAACACTAAACAAAAGCAAAAGAAGCATTCTACTTGTAGACTACTTCTTACTATAAGGTCCTTGTTTGGTTAATAAAAGTCTTGAGGGAGAGTTTGAAGGATTAAAAGCCCCAAACTTGCTTCCAAGGTGTCCATCTAACAAGGAAAAAAAAATTTAACTCATTTCAGTTACAATAAAATAAGGGGTTTATGGAGTTTCATGGAATGCAGCTCCCAAAACACCTTAAATTCCTTTTAAATCAATGATAATTGATTCATCATTCACAGATTCAACCAACTACCAGTACCATTGATTATAATAGCCCCTCTCTGATCTCCAGTTATTTCACATCAATTACGCACAGTGCCATCATTATGGGATTCTACAGCCAGCCACACCTTTGAGCTATCACTTAAAGCCAGTAACAGCATCACCTTCTATCAGACTCTGAGCCAGACATCTACTACCAACAAGCAAATACGTAATTCCACAGGCTAAACTGAAAAATCTCTCTGGCCAACTCAATATTAGTCCAACACCATAAAAATTACCCAGGGAGCCAGCTAATCCAAGCCCCTACCATAGTTTTAAATGTTGCTAAATTTTAATCGCCAACAAAATATGAGAAGCTTATCCGAAATAACACCCAACCCCCAATTCCGTGTTCCAATGATTTTGCAAGTAGAGTTCATGGGAACCTAAGAGTTGGAATTCCACAATTACACACCACCCTGAGACAGTTCCAAATGGATACTCAAAAAGAAACAGCCATTACTGTTAACTCATGTCCACCTTTGGTTTAGGGGAGAAGAGAATGTGTTAATAGTTTTCTGAATCCTTAATTTGTCCCTAGCTCATTTAAAGAGTTCTCTTATACCATCATCTTTCACAGTCCTTAATAAGAACAGCCTGATCTGCTATATACCTGCATTAATTCCATTCACATAGAAGCACTATTGCTATACACAGTGCTGAGAGTTCTAGCCGGGAAGAGGTAACATTTATAGCATAGCAAGAGTCAGTAAAGGTACTCAGCATTTTATCCAGGTGCTCAGACCACTTTAAATCCATGTGATGCCTAAAACACTGGCATAACCACAGGGCCTTTGTGTTTTTAAGCCTCGAACTTGTGAACATATCAACAGAAATCCCAATAAGACAAGTGAGACACAAACTCAAACTGATCAACCCCAACAAAACTTTCTACGTAGAAGAGTCAACAGTGTTCTATTACTTTATAATATATAGGCATTTTGATAACCTCTGCCTCATCAAACTCAATATTCTAATTAAGCTCCTCACAAGCACCCCAAAGTTTTAAGTCACTGTCTCACAACGTACCAAGAACAAGATAGTTGGATTTTTGGAAAACCATCCACATAACTGATGCTTATTTTTTTGGTAATGATTTTACAAATGAACAAGGAACATAATATGCAAACTTACGAAAGCTATGTCAAGAAAAGTCAAAAGGCTTGTTCTGATTTCCACGTATATCCCAGAGCCCACAGAGTGGTTTCTAGTTTGACTTCACTGTAGAGACAGAGGCACATATCAGATACTCTCTGAAGAATAGCTTGCTTGAATCCTAGCAAGGAACCAAGTGCCCACAGGTCTTAGTCTTACATCACATTTATTTTTTCTGCTTGGTAAATGCCATAACATCCTATCATCACGCTGTTATAACAACTTTTCATCACCCATAAGTGAAACAAAAACTCATATTTTACAACCATACCATCAATATTTTTTCAATCATGCATCCAAACCTTTTTTATATATGTATAATATGATGAAAAAAAAGTGTACAACACAATGAAAGAAATACAAGGCTGTTCTTGACTCAAGGACAATGATACAGACAGATGTGGTGGCTCACACCTGTAATTCCAGCACTTTGAGAGGCTGAGCTAAGGTCAGGAGTTCAAGACCAACCTGGTCAACATGGTGAAACCCCATCTCTATTAAAAATACAAAAATTACCCAGGCATGGTGGCACATGCCTGTAATCCCAGCTACTTGTGAGGCTGAAGCAGGAGAATCGTCTGAACCCAGGAGGTGGAGGTTGCAGTGAGCCGAGGTCACACCATAGCACTCTAGCCTGGGTGACAAGAGTGAAACTGCGTCTCAAAAAAAAAAAGGTTTAGTTTTTTCCTTATATCAAAACAATCAGGTCTGACTTCTCCTTCTTGGCAAGTTTATAATATTTTAAGTAATAATGATATTAACTATACAAGAAAGCCAGACTGGTCATAAGTCATAAGTAATTAACTCTTCTGGACTTCAATTCTATATAAACTTCATTAGCAAGTAGATTAGAATAAAGAATGCTATAAGACACAGTCAACTTCATAGCATGAGTACAGGCATTAGTTCCCAGGAAACATACCACGTTCATCCTTTACACAACAGAAAAATCAGCCATCCAATAGATAAAACATTATTGGGTTCCCACTCCTTTCCAGATAAAGCTGTGAGCCAATTGTGTGCAAGGTAGTTTTGCTACAGAAGTGCCTGTAGTGTACTGAAAAACATAATTGGATTTTGCCTTTGTCCCAGGTTTGGGACACAGAGATCCTAAAAACCTTAGCATTTCCTGAGTGATAGGAGTGTCTTTTGTTAACGATAATGTGGCCCTTTCAACAATACCTGAGTTTGTGCAAGAGTCTGGTAACTCTCAGAAGGCCCCTATATAACTTCAGGATAGGGTCTGGTCACCAGAAAAAAACAAGTGATCAGAGGGTTAAACCTTTCAGCTTCCACATCCCCATATATACAACTCCAGGAAGGGAAAAAGGACTAGAGACTGAGTTGAATCACCAATGGCCAATGGTACAATCAATCATGCATACCTAATAAAACCTCCATAAAATCCCCTGAACAAGAGTTTGGGGAGCTTCCAGATTGGTAAACGAATCAAGGACAGTGTGCCTTGAGAGGTCACAGAGCCTCTGTGCTACCTCACTGTCCCCTCACTCCTAATTCCTTGCCCTATGCAATGTCCTATCTCTTCCATTTTAGCTGTACATGAGCTGTAACCTTTATAATAAGCCAGTAACCATAAGTAAAGTTCTTTCCTGAGTTCTGTAAGACATTCTAGCAAATTACCAAACTTAATGGAAGGTATGGTCAAGTTTGATAATGGGAATCCCCAAATTTGTAGTCATCCAAGCAGGAGTACGAGTATCCTGAACACTCCATTTGTGACTAGCATCTTAAATGGGGAGAATCTTGAAGCACTGAGTCCTTTAACTTGTGGGAGCTGAAGCTAACTACAGATACATAGTGTCAGAAATGAATTCAATTGTTGGATACACAGTTGTTTTCAGAGAATTGGAGAACTGCCTGGTGTCAGAAAACACCCGAAGGTGTCGATATTGGAAATATGAAATAAAAATTTCTTTATTTCCATTAATATTTGTAATTGATTTTTATAAGACCCAAATATATAAACAAGCCTAAAAACAATTAAAATAATTCCAAGTGAATTAGGGATAAAATAGGAAGATATGGTTTATGAATATAATTTTCTCCATCACATATCAAAGTTGATTTACCAACTGATGTGAAAATATTATCACAGATTATCAAGCCAGATGTCCTTCAAATACCTAGCAGACTCCTTTCAAGAACATCCTCTTAAAGCAAAAAAGGAGCATGTATGTATGTCCACATTATCCTAGCTCAGCAAAGTCAGACAGAGAGTCTACCTTCCTTCCTTTAGACTCCACTATGAATCACAGTTTTTTGTTTGTTTTTTTGTTTCTTTTGAGACGGAGTTTCGCTCTTGTTACCCAGGCTGGAGTGCAATGGCATGATCTCGGCTCACCACAACCTCCACCTCTTGGGTTCAGGCAATTCTCCTGCCTCAGCCTCCCAAGTAGCCGGGATTACAGGCACGCACCACCATGCCCAGTTAATTTTATGTATTTTTAGTAGAAACGGGGTTTCACCATGTTGACCAGGATGGTCTTGATCTGTTGACCTCATGATCCACCCGCCTCGGCCTCCCAAAGTGCTGGGATTACAGGCTTGAGTCACCGCGCCCAGCCCTTGTTTGTCTGTTTTTTGACACAAGGTCTCACTCTGTTGCCCAGGCTGGAGTGCAGTGGCATGATCACGTCTCATTGCAGCTTCCACCACCAGAGCTTAAGCGATACTCCCACCTCAGCCTCCCGGGTAACTGGGATTACGGGCCACATGCCTAGCTAATTTCTGTATTTTTTGTAGAGAAGAGGTTTCACCATGTTGCCCAGGTTCACAGTTAATTTTTTATTCCAAGCTGACTTCTCTCCACTCTCCAAGGCACATCTGACTACCTTATCCAAGTGACCAATTACTTTATTCTCAAAGCAAACAAGTCACGCCACCATATTATACTTTACCTGTAATAACTCTGTTTTTCACTATGATGTGTCCTTAGGAATCCAGAAAGGCAAAAGAATACTTAAGTCATACACATAATTTTGTTTATATTTTAATTAAGACCATTTAGATAACCTTCAGATAACCTGTTACATGGTGTCTTTTTTTTTTTTTTTTTTTTTTTTGAGACAGAGTTTTGTTCTTGTTGCCCAGGCTGGAGTGCAATGGCACGATCACAGCTCACTGCAACCTCCACCTCCCAGGTGCATGCAGTTCTCCTGCCTCAGTCTCCCAAGTAGCAGGGACTACAGGCGCCCACCACCACACCCAGCTAAGTTTTGAATTTTAAGTAGAGACAGGGTTTCACCACGTTGTGCAGGCTGATCTCAAACTCCTGACCTCAAGTGACCCATCTGCCTCAGCCTCCCAAAGTGCTGGGATTACAGGTGTGTGCCACTGTGCCCAGACTCAATCTGCATGACTTCTGACTACTGGAAATCCGATAAAACATTCCAATGAATCTGACAACTCAGTTGCTTTCATAACAGCACCTGTCATCTAATAGGAACTCAAATATTTCTTCAATAAATAAGGAATCAGAGCTCAAGTTTTTGATTTAACATCTTTAGGAAAAATAGTTTCACTAAGAGACACAATAGGGTGTTTTATCTGTATTTCCTGATGGGTCTAATTTGTTTCTTTTCTTTCCTCATTAATCAAAATATGTATAACTAGATGTTATGGAGGTTCTCTGAAAAAGTTACCAGAAGCTTTTAGTAGAAAAATGCTCCTAACAGCCAGGCACAGTGGTTCACGCCTGTAATCCCAGCACTTTGGAAGGCCAAAGTGAGAGGATCACCTTAAGTCAGGAGTTCAAGACCAGCCTGGCCAACATGGCAAAACCCCGTCTCTACTAAAAATACAAAAAAATTAGCTGGGTATGGTGGCAGGTGGCTGTAATCCCAGCTACTCTGGAGACTGAGACAGGAGAATTGCTTGAACCCAGGAGGCAGAGGTTGCAGTGAGCCAAGATTGCACCACTGAACTCCTGTTTGGGTGACAGAGTGAGATTCTGTCTCAAAAAGCAAAAGAAAAAGAAAAAGAAAAATGTTCCTAACAATAGAACTTCATGACACAAAAATTAGTCAGGCATCTTCTGGCTTTGAAAGAGATATGTGGCATTTTTAACTGCCATGAGTCATAAGACATGTGACGATCTTTTGTATACTCCACCAACTTTCCATTTCAATGCTACATTACACTATATAATCATTTTTAAGAAATGTTAGGTAACAATTCACAGTGAAATTTAAATTAAAATCCAACTATGTCACCACAAAAGCAAATAACTGAGGTAGAAAATGAGCAGGCATCTTCCACACAAAGGTAATACTGTAATAACCAGCATTATTATACTCCTCTTCCCATCCAAATGGCTTCGTTTGACCTCATTAAATGATAACTACCAATTTCAAAAACATTAGCCTGTGAATAACACTTTTATTCCCTAGTTGACACAATTAAAAATTACTTGCTGCCCATAAATGTATTCTACAAATTGAAAGTTTTAAAAGGTTGGACTAAATTAAAAATAATCGAGAGAGTGAACGGCACTCACAGAAGATAGGGTGTATTCTATCTACTTCACATGTATAAAGTACACGACAGAATCCTGACTAAAATGCTCTAATTTGTTACTTACAAAGACCCAAAAAGAAAATCAAAAGAGCAATCAGTTGTAAAACATTACGAGAGAGAGACTTTATTTAGTTAGATGACGGAATAGGTATAAGAAAAAAAGGAAAGCTGGTTAAGAAATTATTACTGCTAAACGGTGAATGATACCAACTAGACAACAATATACTGGTCACTAAAAAGGTGACCACTAATTGGAACACAAGTAGGTCATCAGATTTTTATTATTAAATTTTGGATAAGAACTGTTATTCACTTCTAATCCTCACCAAACTGACTTCTGATGTATAAATCTGATTTCCAAGTACTGGGAAGGCAATGCCCTGCAGGATCTGAGCATTCTAAGCACTGAATACAAATTTTAAAAGCTAGACTCTCATGTGGGATTGATCTTAATTTGGCAGGACTAACCACTGCCAAATTTACCTTAATTTGCCTAACCACTGGCTCCTCAACTTCACCCAAAAATGTCTTATTACTTGACATGGCTTTTGATTAACTGCAAAGATTAACAGGCCCTAATGAATGGGTCAACTCATGTTCCAAGGTACAAAGGACACGTATTCAGTTTTTATTCTATCGAAATACCGAACATCCCAATAAATGTATATATATCATAAGTGTGCATATAAATACACTTTCATATCCTTCAGTACTGGCATAGTTAAGTCAAAGATGACCAAGGCTTAACTACAATTTGCGTTTAGTGGTATTCCCCAAACACAAACTGGATACAACTGGATACAACTACTATCTCCAAAGCCCACAAATGTCTGAAAATGAGAGGTAACCTATTCCTAAGGAAATAACTAATGTAGACAAATTTAATGGGCCAGAACTACCACATGAAAGGCTGATGGAGAACTTTACACTATATGGATCACATTGGCAGCACCTAAGCCCACTTAGGTGGTCGATCTTAACAAGAGCTACAATAAGTAATCACACGCCTCCTCATGTGATACAACAAGAAGCACACACCACCATCTATAAAGTAAGTGTTCTCAACAAAAATCTGATCAAGTTTCCACAAACCAGTTAAAGGTAAATAACAGGGCATGAAGAAACATGTTAAACACTAAAAGGATACAATCAGCCAAATTCAAAATGTATAAAATGCTACAAAATAAATTAATCTTTTTTTAAAAAAAACAATTTAATGGTAAGGGAAAGAGAGAAGAGGGAACTACCATAGAGTTAAAGAAACTTAAGAGACACATCAACCAAACCCAATGTGTGCACAGACTTTGCTGAGGTCTCAACTTGAAGAAATTAATTGTAAATAAAGTATTTACAAGGCTTTTGGGGAAATGTGAACACTGAGTAGCTATCTAGTAATACTGTTTTGTTCATTTAATGGTAAGACAATTGTATCGAGGTCACGTATTTAAGAGTCCTCATCACTTAGAAGACATGTAACTGACATTTATGTGCATAAAATAATGATAATCAGAATTTGCTTTAAAATATTTCAGTAGAGATAGGTGGAGGGAGGAGTAAGATTGGCAATATGTTAATAATTGCTGATGCTATATAATGGGTACACGGGAGTTCATTATACTACTCGATTTTTGAATATGCTTGAAATTTTCTACTATTAGAAGTTTTCACACCTTCAGTATTTTTTCTTCTAACCCTGCCAAAAACAAAGTGCATAAAAATTTAGCTAAAAGCATCAGTTTGTTCTTAAGACAGTCCGTATATGGTCTGTCCTCACAGAGCTCATGGTTGTGCCACCTTCTCCTGACCTACTAATCTTCTTCAGCTTATCCAGGCACACAAGTCATCTGAGAATCCTAGAGCAATTTATTCCTTGCATCTGTCTAGGCCAGCAGAGTTCTGGGTTTTCACTAAACATTTTTTCCCTAGTGGTAGATCCCCTGTGTTCCTAGCTTCATAGCAATACGAATCTTTCTACTTTAGTGATCAGTAATGCTTACTGGATAACCTTGATAAGCCTTATAAATGGCTTACAAAGATATAAATGGTAGGTCCAGATCTCATAACCGAGTGCAAATGAAGACTCCTCAAAAGCCATTTGATTTAGAAAATAATTCCTGTAAGTGCCAACTACTTTCAAGAATTAGCAAAACATTACGGTTTACAACACGTAAACTGTCATCAGACCAAAGTAACACGGTTCTGCCACTCATTTAGCTGTATGATTTTGGAAATTTTATTTAGCCTGTGCTTCAGTTTCCTCATCTATACTCTTAGGCCTACTTCATAAGGTTGTTGGGAGAATTAAAGGAGTTAATAATATTAAGTGCTTAGAGCAGGGTTGGACACACATTAAACGTTACTTATTATTTCTACCACATAGCTCCTATGCATGCTCAATCTCTCAAGGAACATATACTCCTTCAGACTAGGCTCTAGATTTAATTCATCTTTAAGGATCCCATTGCTTATCATTGGTAATATCTTTATCTATCTAACATATATAGACAGATACAGATTTGTTAACTGTTACATTTGTGCCTCTGTTTCCTTATCCTTGTAAGAGCATCTCTAAAGGGGAGTGAATATGTTTGTATGCACTTGATTTTCCTTTCTGATTAATGTTTGTTTGGCAGTTCTACCCAGAGAAAATGAACACCAAGATGAAACTCACAAGTTTTTCTTAGTGCATCTTTTAACTGGACATTTTTGCCTAGATTTGGAACTCATGAAACCATGTAGTGACAATCCAAATATTTACTATACCTTATTTGAAAACCGTCACCCTGAATGTATGAGCTAAATTGAAAACCACTTTAGTTGGTGATTCAGTTGGGAATACTCTCTGGAAACCTTCCATATCATTTCTACACTGTATCTGTTCAACTATGAAAGTTCTGTCAACATCCCTTTGTTGCTAGTAGTAAAGTTCAAGTGGCATGTAAATGGAAACTTTCTGCAATGTGGGAAAGTCACTATTTAATTATTTTCTTATCAAAAATGTCACACATTAAGCATCCCCAAATTATTTTAAGGTACAACAGCCGTTAAAACCTTTTTTCTCCTAGCAACAAAAAACATTTTCAGGACAAATTCATGTTCCCACCATTTCCAAGGTCAAAGACAATTAGGCAACATTCCCTTTGGAATAGTATAAGGTATAAGCATAAGGTATAAGAGGAATAAGTGAATCCTCATTCTGCCAATATATCACTTTCATAATTCCTGGACTTTAACCAGTATAAAAACTTTTTTCCAAGCAGATGGACTTCCCATTGACAATTTATCATGATCCCCACAAATAGTGATGAATATTGGATGTTAGCCTGACTTATGGGTAATCCTACAAAAGTCTCATTTTTCAACTAACTTCATTACATATATATATATAAACATATAAACTGTATAAACCTCCAAGAGCAGTAAATGACATTTTTGTTTCTTAGAATTGCTGACAGACTCAGCTGAATTTAGTAAATTTCAAATGATATAATTTTTGTCACTGGCTGCCAACCTTTGCTACATAAAATGGGGAATCAGAAATTTAACCAGCTGAATTTTCTAAATTCTTAGTTTTAAATGAAGAATGACTTAACCTTCCCCCCACTCCTTACTTTCCCTGTTTTTCTATATTCCACTCCAATAAAGTCAAAACATCATCATTTACAGATACTTCTTGAAAGATCAGTAAACTTAGTATCTTTCCCAAATTTCTGAGAAGACTCACAAAACATCCTTCTTCCTCTTCATAGTTTCCTTTTTATTATTACCAATTTAAGAAACAATTAGGGTTACTTATAAAAATCAGTCTCCAAGATGCCTCATTTTTTTCCTCCAAACACACTGATGTGCAGTGCCACCAAAACCCCCCACCACCTGTACTCTAATCCAGCATAATAGCTCTGGAGCATCTAATCTTCTAAATAAATATCCTGTTGCTATGCAAGCATTTCCAACTTGAGCAATTTTTTTTTTTTTGAGACGGAGTTTCGCTGTTGTTACCCAGACTGGAGTGCAATGGCACGATCTCGGCTCACCACAACCTCCGCCTTCTGGGTTCAAGCAATTCTCCTACCTCAGCCTCCCGAGTAGCTGGGACTACTAGCGCGCACCACCATGCCCAGCTAATTTTTGTATTTTTAGTAGAGACGGGGTTTCACCTTATTGACCAGGATGGTCTCGATCTCTTGACCTCGTGATCCACCCGCCTCGGCCTCCCAAAGAGCTGGGATTACAGGCTTGAGCCACCGTGCCTGGCCCCAGCAATTTTTTAAAAGTAAACAAAGCTTTTAAGGCCGCCAAAAAGGTAAAAGACAAAGCTACAGAAACTTACCACTACCCAAAATATTTAGAGCTCCAGAACTCTTCAGTCATGAACTGATAATATACTATAGTTAAAAAAAAAAAAAAAAAGGTGGGGGGGAGCTAAAAGTGCCTTTGTGTGAAAAATAAATTATTAAGAGTATTGCCAAACTCCTAGCTACTATCACTCTGATTGGCACACAATTTGATTATGCATTTTCTGAGGAAAATCCCTATGCCCAAGGACCCTTAATGGGTCATGATTCTCATCTGAAAAAAAAAAAAAAAAAATTAGAATGCTGACATTAAAGTAAATTCAACTTTATAAAAACTATGCTTATTTCTTTTTTCTTTTCTTTTTCTTTTTTTGAGAAGGCGTTCCACTCTTGTTGCCCAGGCTGGAGTACAATGGTGCGATCTCGGCTCACGGAAACCTCCGCCTCCCAAGTTCAAGCAATTCTCCTGCCTCAGCCTCTGGAGTAGCTGGGATTACAGGCATGCGCCATCACACCCAGCTAATTTTGTATTTTTAGTAGAGAAAATTTCTCTGTTTGTCAGACTGGTCTCGAATTCTTGACCTCAGGTGATCCGCCCACCTCGACCTCCCAAAGTGCTGGGATTACAAGCTTGAGCCACTGTGCACAGCCTCAAAAACTGTTTCTAAAGAAGGGGGCTTCTGTCATGAGTGGTACATACTCAATTGCTCTTCATGAGGAATCAACATCAGGAGATTTTGTAAGAATTATTTTTTTGGTGGAGTTGGGCAGATCATGAAAAAAGTTTTCAGGCAAATCATCTACTCAAAAAAATGAAAAACTGGTTTTATAAAGCAGTTTTTCTAAACAACTATGTTCAAGGTTAGCTCATTAAAGCCAGTGAGATATGATCATAAACTATATAAATACCTTTACATGTACAAAAACATTATTTCCAAATGGTAACTGATGAACTAATCAACCTTCTAAAGCAGGAGCTCTACACTTGTAACTCTACATTTGCAAATAGAAAAATATTTTTTCCCTAAAGTAGTCTTACATTCAGACTTCAGAAAAATTCAGTGATGCAACAGTATTAAAAGAAGCATGACACTTTGGTCTTAAATAAATATAACTTAAATTTTATTTTATCTAAAACATATATTTAGAAAATAAACTGAAGAGTAGATAAATGCATAAACCATAATCTATAAAAGGAAGACTGTGAGGAGCAAAGTTTTATTGAATTTCTATAGAAATCTGGTTCCCAAATTAAATATATAATCTGGTTGTGCATGTTAAATACATACACCCATATCTCCAATAAAATTCCACTGACTTGTAACAGGCAACAGTAATAAAGTGATTAAAAGTGATGCAGCAATATAAAGAGCAGAAACTATGTGAAAGTCAAACAATGAAAAAAATTAATCCTTCAGAGCTTCCATTAGTCATCAGAATCATCTTACAATAAATCTTTATTTGTGATAGAGAATTGAGCATTTGAAGCAGCCAGTACTCAGACATATCAGACTTGAATGATAGCCAATTGTGTGCTCTTTGACCCATGCCCTCCTACAACTACTGTATGATATATAATTTTTTAATAAATTAAGCATAAGTTTATCTGATAATTCTGAAATACCTTTAGAATAAAGGTGGAGATTCTAGAACTACAGTGTGCCCTGTAGAGAAATCAGTCCTTTGATGATTTCTAGCCTTTAAAGAAATTAGTGACCACCTTAACCATAAAGTTAATGTCTGTATTCCAGAGCCAAGCAGCAGATAGTCTACAAACATTAGGAATTTGCACTTCTAATTTTTTTAAGTCATGCAAATCACAGGACCAGACTTAAAAGCATTAATATATGTAAGCAACTGAAACCTTGCACTAACATATAGGTACTAATAGTACAAAAATAAATACTGTCAACTTACAGCTAGCCATCTCTACCATGTCTCCAGCTCCCCTCCATGATGTGTGCACTCCTGTTCCCTGAGTCTTTCACTGAGGTCTGAGCCGGCAGAGACAGATCTGCTAAGCTCCAAGGTAGGATAGGCCCATTGCTGGATCCCTAAGACATGGTGTCCAATCAAGAAAGCAGTTATTATGAGACTCACAGCACCCTTTATGCTCATTCCCTCTCTTGAGAGAAAAGCAGGAGCAACGGTGCCCAGGACAGATCAGCTCCTGCACCATCCTCACCATGGTTCCAACTAAAATTCAATCATTATGTAACATCGGTGGTTTAACACTTATGTAATCAATGAAGGATCAACTTTAGTCCACCACACTACGAGCCTGCTAAGGGCAGAGGCCTATTCCATTCATTTCTGCACCAAAATCTTGCTTACTGTATGGTTTCTAAGTGTCCAATATGTGATTCATGAATGAATGTATATAAATAACTGTGTTGAATCCCAAAAGCTGGAAAATAAAGAGGAGCCTCCCAAGGGGAAGAGACAGAAATGAAAAGGGAGATGCGAAAAGCCAGGAGAAAGCAGCCACAGTGTAAAGAGACAGTGAGGGCAATGAAGGTGAATATCAAAGTGGGAACAAATATGCCCCTCCCACCACATCATTAAGTCATAATAGGTTCTGCTATCCCAAGCCTCCATTGTAAAATTCTTCCATAGTTATCAAAGCAGGCCACCTATCATTCTATAATTGGAAAAAACAGAACCATTTAGAAGATTCAAAGGCATTTTTAATCCATATACAAAGCTATTTATAGACACTGTATATTGTATATACAATCTTACTATACTTAATGTTTCTCCTGTTTTATATCTTCAATAGAACTAAGTTAGATAAAAGAACAATAATGTGAATACAACTTAAAATTCTTTTTTCATTTTTTTTTTGACAGAGTTTCGCTGTTGTTACCCAGACTGGAGTACAATGGCACGATCTCCGCTCACCACAACCTCTGCCTTCTGGGTTCAAGCAATACTCCTGCCTCAGCCTCCCAAGTAGCTGGGACTACAGGCGCATACCACCATGCCCAGCTAATTTTTGTATTTTTAGTAGAGACGGGGTTTCACTTGATCACGAGGTCAAGAGACTGTTGACCAGGATGGTCTCAATCTCCTGACCTCGTGATCCACCCGCCTTGGCCTCCCGAAGTGCTGGGATTATAGGCGTGAGCCACCGCGCCCAGCCCCTACAACTTAAAATTTTTAAAAAGTCAGGCCAGGTGTAGTGTCTCATGACTGTAAACTCAGCACTCTGGGATGCCAAAGTGCCAGTGTCGAAAGCCAGGAGTTCAAGACCAGCCTGGGCAATGCAGTGAGAACCCCCCCCATTTCTACAAAAAAAAAATTTTAATGAGCTGGGCATGGTAGTGTGCACCTGTAGTCCCAGCTACTTTAGAGGCTGGGATGGGAAGATCACTTGAGCCCAGGAATTGGAGGCTAGGCTCCAACCTGGAAAACACAGTAAGACCCTGTCTCTAAAATGAACAAAAATAAAAGATGGTCTTATTTTTTTTTTTTTTTTCATAAATTAGATTTTAGGTCAAAATACAAATAAAAGCTAAACACTGTCATGCTAAATATTAAGCAGATGTATTTAAATGTGAAAGCTAAAAATTATCACAGTGAATATGTCAAAATTAAAAGTACAAAATAGAAGTTGTAACTTTATTACATATAGATACATATCACATATAAAGGTTCACTATAAGCAGGAAATCATGTATTACTTTTAGCTGTTTATTTAAGGCAAGGGAAGAGTAACAGTAATGAACCAATTAAAAATTTTTATCCTAGGGTCTAAGTGTTTGATCTCTATTATTTATATACAATTACATCGTGGGTGAACCATTCAAGAAATAAATTTTTGCTAACTACATTTCAAAGAAGTCACAACTGTCAACCAGTGGAAATTAAGCATTTTCATTCAAAAAAATTTTTTAACATAGCAGAAATGTTTTTTCCAGGTTAGATTTTTTTTGCCTTTAAATCAATTCACCTAAGAATGATACGTATCAAAGCATCATTCTTCTCCAGTTCATGAATAAAGCAGCAAATGCTAAAACAACCTATATCACATTCTGGGATATTTTTATGTTAACTGGAGAGTAGTCTCCTTGAGATGAGACTTTTTTATACAGATGACATTTAAGTTTAAATGCATTTTTTTTTTTTGGCTGGGTGCAGTGTCTCACACCAGTAATCCTGGCATTTTGGGAGACCAAGAAAGGAGGATCTCTTGAGCCCAGGAGTTCAAGACTAGCCTAGACAACAAAGCGAGACCGTGTCTCTACAAAAAAGTTTAAAGTTAGTCAGGCATGGAGGCATACACCTGTATAGTTACTTAGGAGGTTTAGACAGGAGGATCACTTGAGGGAGGTCAAGGATGCAGTGAGCTATGATTGCACCACTGCACTCCAGCATGGACAACAGAGTGGGACCTTGTCTCAAAAAAATAAAATGAAATGCAAGGTTTATAACTTTGTTTTTAATATAGAAAGTCTATTCTGTATTATACGAAGACTAAAGTCCTAATACAGAATAAGGATGGTGAGGGAGACAGGAGAAAAACACAGTTTTGTTTAAAAGTAAAAATACATTCAATGTATGGTTTATAGTAATTCAATTTTAAAGCATAAGATCTCTGAATATAACTCTATACTTTCTGCACCACAATCTTAAAAGTTAGCTGTCTTCAAATTGCAATTGAAATTATGGTTAAGTCTGAATACCTATATATACTTTTCTATACCTAAATACATATTTCCATATTATATACATCTAAATTCCATATATATATTTTGCCATTTCAATTTCAAGTGAAAAAAAGAACAATTTACAATCAAGAATACTATATTTTTCATATTTGAAAGAAGAATGAAAAATGGAAGCTCTTTTAATGTAAAATTGCCATGGCTGGTTAGCTGAAACAACAGTGGACACATTCCCAAAACCAAGACGGATATAAAAAAAATAAATAGCATAATATCATAAAATTTGTAGCTTACTTTGTGCCTTTTCACAGAAGTTTATCTGAAAGCCTAAAGTAAAAAAGATAAGTTCCAGTTCATTTACTGTAAATCAAACAAACCAAAATTGGAACATGACATTGCATTTTTATATTACATTTTGAATAAAATGAATTCAATAACAGGTCAAATCACATTACACCCAGCAGAGACAACGATAACACCTGAGCTTTCTTTAAAAACTTAGCTCTTTCACAGGTAGATGTACTGTATTACATAGCACTGAAACCAAGCTTAAATTGTACTGCACTGTCTGAATCTTTATTTTTCATATTTAATAAAAAGAAGAGCTATAAGCCTTTAGAAGTTAACAGTAACCTTTAAGATAGTTATGTCCATTTTTTCAATATTTTCAACCTACAAATACAGAATATGAGTTACTTAACTAGCTTAAATTACTGATTTAGAGTTACCCATGATTACTTACCATCTATGATTTAAAAGTTCTAGCAGTTCATAAATTGTGAAACTTACACATAAAACATTTCCTAGTAAATTAGGTAACTTACTAGTAAATTAGTAAGACAAAAAACTGCTGAAGAGGGGCTGAAATTCTTCTAAAATAGGCATGAAAAAAGATAATGGCCCTAGGAATGAGAAAGCCAAGTACTTTAGAAGTTATAGGAAGAAACCTTGTGACTTCCCCTTAGAAACCTAAACACATTTTCCAAATCCAGTTGGATCTGGGTATACCTTATGTATACATTGTACACAGATGTAAGTTTTAATAAGATGCACCCAGTAAAATAAGCCATTTAAAACAAAAGCCTTCACAAAATATTCTTTCACCCCTAGTTTAGTAAGTAGATCATCTGGTTAGTGGTCTATCTATGCTTGTGTTTATTATTGTTTTGGGGAACAAAATGGGGGAAGTAAACTTATAATAACTTCGTGTTTAAACAAATTCAATCAAAACCTGCAGAAAAAAGAGCCAGGACTGAAGGAAGGATAGTTAAATAGTCTTTCCTACTAGGTTATCAAAATTCTTAGGATTGTAAAATATCATCTATAAAGCAAAAAAACTGAAAAATGCTAATGTAGCTACTTTGACATGAAAGTGTCTTTGGTGCACCACCAAAGTAATCCACTGCTGACTACCTAATCACATAAATGACAATGCAGGAAGAAGTAAGAATGGAGACTTCATGGGAAAGAAATAGCAGGGCAAACCTACAAAGTCTGGCCCTGGTCTCTCCACCACTGAAGGTCAATATGCTGCCCCACCAAACATGCAGTGGGAACAGAATTCGGACAGAAAAACAGAGGTATATGGGTCTTCTAGGCCTAAACAACTAAAAGCCCCTTCGTAACACACAAAATGAGCTGAGTACATTCAGGAAGAAAAGGGTTCTCTGGAAGTAGCAGGCAAGTCTTCCCCGAATCTCACTGAAAAAGGGAAGGTGAAACTCACCTTTTACTACAACTGGAGAGGAGGCTGGAGAAACAGCTTTAAAGCAATAGTTACTCTTTTCTTTGTAGCTCTAAATACAGAGATTGATTGTAACTAGATAGCAAAAAGAAAGAGGTGAAAAGGTGAGAGAAGAGGTGAACAAAATAGTAATGTGATGAAAGGAGCAAGAAAACAAATTTGTAAGGTAGATGAAAATGAAATTAGTTGAATGTGTATGTAAGGTTGTGTTAAAAAAAGTTACAGTGCTTAATCAGTGTATACTATTTAAAAATGTTAAGGTATATGTGACTGAAAATGACAGAATGTCACCAATGACTGCACTAACACATTAGAAGCTAAGCCCCAGTTTAAGTGCTAAAAAATTCTCAAAACCTGAAGTTCTGTCACAGTACAGAATCTATGTAAGTAGCTAAAAAGGAGGTGGGAAGGGGATTAAAATTTTCAAAGCGTAAGTACAGACTTGCTCTTTGTATCTAATTATGGAGGAAGTGACCAGCTGAATGAATTCTGGGGTCTCACTCAAACATCCATCTCTCCGCATTATTTCTCACTAAGAAAATACTAGGTAACTAGTCCAGAGTCTACTGACAAGCAAGGGCTAAATTAACTGGAACACACTGGCTCACCTTTTCTTTAGTATTCTATAACTTTCTTAACATTATCAATTAAATTAGGTAAGAAGCTTTTTCAGCTAAACTGTCTAAACCTCTAAGACCTGCAAAAGTCAGAAAGTTAGTGCTTCTAGTACAGATCTGGGGAAGTATCAAATAGTTCCACTAGCTCATACTCAAAAGAGCAAGGGTGGACAAAGGGAACAACCAACAATCTTGTACAAGAGAAAGATGGTGGGAAGGAAAACTTCCAATATCCTCAACTTTACAAAATGCAAGTTCATAGTTATGCTATAATATTCATTAATATTCACTCACTTATGTTCAATTTTTTTTCCTTTTTTGGTTTTTAGAATGAGAGTCTTGCTGTCACCCATGCTGGAGTGCAGTGGCATGATCACAGCTCACTGCAGCCTCAAACTCCTGGGCTCAAGCAATCCTCTCATCTCAGCAGGTACAAGCCACTATGTCCAGCTAATTTTTGCATTTTTTTGTTGTAGAGATGGAGTCCCAACATGTTGCCCAGGCTAGTCTCAAACGATCCTCCTGCCTCAACCTCCCAAAATGATGGGAGTATAGGCATGAGCCATCTCACCTGGCCCATATGTTCAATTTTTGGTCTCCCATGACTCCGAAATTCTGACTTCCTATTCACTTACTTTAAGTCCCACATCTCTGGAAGTACTAGATAATCAGCTGAACCTGTTGACAGTAACTGGTTTAAAAGTCTTGTATGCCTCAGTTTTTTTATATCTGGGTGAACTATCTGTACCCTGGGGCTTAATTTGACATGATCCTCCACTTAACATTTTCCCCATTGCAAGTAGGGGTAAATTTGAGTCTTTTTCATTTTTCCTGGCCCCAGGCAAGTTTAAGTAAATCTTAGAATAAATATCAAAAATAATATTTAAGAATTTAAATTCTTAATTCTTGGAATTGATATTTAAGAATCAATATCAAAATGCACAGGACAGAATGCTAGTAAGCCTATAAAAGAAATAAAGCTATATGGGGTTTTTTCCTCCTCCTCTTTCTCTCTGGGTCTCTCCTACCCTCATTTCCACATTTGCCCTCATTCTCATCCTCTTACCCCAATTTTAAGATCTTTCATGTGGCCATAACTTGAAACCCACAATTTACTGTTCTTACCAAATACAGTGAGGTAAGAGACTATTTAGGATGTAAGTGCATATGAAAACAAAAAGCAAATAGTATTCAATAACATAAAAAGCAAAATGAAGCGTGTTAGGAGACCAGAGCTCTAGTTCCAACTGTGAAACTCAAGTCATTTCACTTGAGCCCTAGTTTTGACATTTTTAAATAAAGATTATTATCTTAAGAGTTTGGAAACAGTGTGCCTAAATCTAATTTTGCTTGTGTAATGGCCATTACGGGGTTTTGTAGTTATCTTCATTCCCATTCCTCTTGGTTGATGATATAATCAGAGAGGGTCCGGGGCAAGGCATAAGTGGTTTCCTACCTACTCAGTAGTTCTTTCTGATTTCCTGGACACTCTGGATTTTTCCACAGCTGAAAGTGCATTATGAACTACAATATGAACCCACACTAATGTAAAGAAAATCAGAGCTACCTTACTGGGCCAGGCTCATAGACCATGCCACAGTCTTTCTTCCGTCACAAGCATGAAGGGTCTAGTTGTCTGACACCTTCACACTTCCAGCCTCAAAATTCTGTCATGTGCCTTAAAGCACAGCTACCCGTAGTATATCATTATGGCTCTACTATCTAAGATATTATCTAAACTTACCCTAAACTTGTATTTTCATTGTGCTTAGAGCAAGTTCCACAAGATTTATTTCCTGCTGGTTTATTTCTTTCAGATTTTCTTAGTTGACCTTTCTCAAACTTTATCAAAAGGAAGCCACCCTAAGTTGGCAATTCCAGGTTGTCTGCATCGTCCAAAACCAGTCAGGATTTGATAAAATACTAATCAAATCCCTTCTATACTTTTTAAATTCAAGATCTTGTCCTCCTCATAATGCCAGCTCTTTTTCTTCCTTTCAGCAATGACCATCTTATTTATTCTTTGACCACAAAACTAAATGCCACATTACCTTCTCAAGCCTGTTCCATGAAGCACAGTATACTCAGAGACAGTAACTTACAATATGTTCCTTTGGGCAAGTATCTGACTTGTATGAACCTCAATTTCCTCATCTGTGAAAAAGAAAATAATACCCAAAAGAGCTTTGATGATTAAATGGGAAAATATATCTAAAATGTCCAACCAAGAGCCTGGACTAAAGCAGGTTATTATCATCACAGGCATTATTATTCCTGTTCTCATCCTCATGGAGCAATAACAGCACCTTCCCTATCTTTCTGTGGCTCACCAGACTAGCTTAACCTACACAAAACCAGTATTTCTCCTTTCTTTCCCAGTCACCTTGAGAGAATTAAATGGGAAGGACTCCAAACAGCCCTGGAGATTCCCCACTGCACACTCTACACCTCTACCACAACCCTTCCTTGGCACAGCCTGGTATCCTGAGGACTCTAACAACCCCAAAAAGATGGATATGTCCCCAAGACAGGCATATAACCAGATCCCTGGAAAACTGCCAAAAGCATCAGGGGAGCCACTTAACATCACTTATTTCTTTAGTAAAGCCAGGCAATCAATAGACAGAGGCAAGTCATATATATATATATATATATATATATATATATATATATATACACACATTATAGTCATAGGCAAGTTTTATATATATGTGTGTGTCTGGCAACACTTTTCTTGATTCCTCTTTTATAAATGTTTGAGCAATTTTGAGTAAGATGAAATAGAATACAGCTTGAAAAAGATGCTGTGATGCCCACTTTAATCTTTTTTCTCCATGAGAGGGAATAATGTGTTGCTCTTAAAGAAGAACCAAGCTGCATGTGATATAATTGTTTTCTTCACTGAAAAGGCCCACATTGAGTTGTGT